AGAGGAGGCGAGAAGAGACCGTTTGGTATGGACTGTTTTATATTTGGAGAGGAGGCGAGAAGAGACCGTTTGGTATGGACTGTTTTATATTTGGAGAGGAGGCGAGAAGAGACCGTTTGGTATGGACTGTTTTATATTTGGAGAGGAGGAGAGAAGAGACCGTTTGGTATGGACTGTTTTATATACCGTTTGGGAGAGGAGGCGACTGTTTTATATTTGGAGAAGAGGCCGTTTGGTATGGACAGTTTTATATTTGAAGAGGAGGCGAGAAGAGGCCGTTTGGTATGGACTGTTTTATATTTGGAGAGGAGGCGAGAAGAGACCGTTTGGTATGGACTGTTTTATATTTGGAGAGGAGGCGAGAAGAGACCGTTTGGTATGGACTGTTTTATATTTGGAGAGGAGGCGAGAAGAGGCCGTTTGGTATGGACAGTTTTATATTTGGAGAGGAGGCGAGAAGAGACCGTTTGGTATGGACTGTTTTATATTTGGAGAGGAGGCGAGAAGAGACCGTTTGGTATGGACTGTTTTATATTTGGAGAGGAGGCGAGAAGAGACCGTTTGGTATGGGTTTTATATTTGGAGAGGAGGCGAGAAGAGACCGTTTGGTATGGACTGTTTTATATTTGGATACCGTTTGGTATGGACTGTTTTATATTTGGAGAGGAGGCGAGAAGAGACCGTTTGGTATGGACTGTTTTATATTTGGAGAGGAGGCGAGAAGAGGCCGTTTGGTATGGACTGTTTTATATTTGGAGAGGAGGCGAGAAGAGACCGTTTGGTATGGACTGTTTTATATTTGGAGAGGAGGCGAGAAGAGACCGTTTGGTATGGACTGTTTTATATTTGGAGAGGAGGCGAGAAGAGACCGTTTGGTATGGACAGTTTTATATTTGGAGAGGAGGCGAGAAGAGACCGTTTGGTAGACTGTTTTATATTTGGAGAGAGACCGTTTGGTATGGACTGTTTTATATTTGGAGAGGAGGCGAGAAGAGACCGTTTGGTATGGACTGTTTTATATTTGGAGAGGAGGAGAGAAGAGACCGTTTGGTATGGACAGTTTTATATTTGGAGAGGAGGCGAGAAGAGACCGTTTGGTATGGACTGTTTTATATTTGGAGAGGAGGCGAGAAGAGACCGTTTGGTATGGACTGTTTTATATTTGGAGAGGAGGCGAGAAGAGGCCGTTTGGTATGGACAGTTTTATATTTGGAGAGGAGGCGAGAAGAGACCGTTTGGTATGGACTGTTTTATATTTGGAGAGGAGGCGAGAAGAGGCCGTTTGGTATGGACTGTTTTATATTGGGAGAGGAGACGAGAAGAGACCGTTTGGTATGGACTGTTTTATATTTGAAGAGGGGGAGAGAAGAGACCGTTTGGTATGGACTGTTTTGTATTTGAAGAGGGGGAGAGAAGAGACCGTTTGGTATGGACTGTTTTATATTTGGAGAGGAGGCGAGAAGAGACCGTTTGGTATGGACTGTTTTATATTTGGAGAGGAGGCGAGAAGAGACCGTTTGGTATGGACAGTTTTATATTTGGAGAGGAGGCAAGAAGAGGCCGTTTGGTATGGACTGTTTTATATTTGAAGAGGGGGCGAGAAGAGACCGTTTGGTATGGACTGTTTTGTATTTGAAGAGGGGGAGAGAAGAGACCGTTTGGTATGGACTGTTTTGTATTTGAAGAGGAGGCAAGAAGAGGCCGTTTGGTATGGACTGTTTTATATTTGAAGAGGAGGCGAGAAGAGGCCGTTTGGTATGGACTGTTTTATATTTGGAGAGGAGGCGAGAAGAGGCCGTTTGGTATGGACTGTTTTGTATTTGGAGAGGAGGCGAGAAGAGGCCGTTTGGTATGGACTGTTTTATATTTGGAGAGGAGGCGAGAAGAGACCGTTTGGTATGGACAGTTTTATATTTGGAGAGGAGGCGAGAAGAGACCGTTTGGTATGGACTGTTTTATATTTGGAGAGGAGGAGAGAAGAGACCGTTTGGTATGGACTGTTTTATATTTGGAGAGGAGGAGAGAAGAGACCGTTTGGTATGGACTGTTTTATATTTGGAGAGGAGGCGAGAAGAGACCGTTTGGTATGGACTGTTTTATATTTGGAGAGGAGGCAAGAAGAGGCCGTTTGGTATGGACTGTTTTATATTTGGAGAGGAGCCGAGAAGAGACCGTTTGGTATGGACTGTTTTGTATTTGAAGAGGAGGCGAGAAGAGGCCGTTTGGTATGGACTGTTTTGTATTGGGAGAGTAGGCAAGAAGAGGCCGTTTGGTATGGACTGTTTTTATTTGGTGTGGGGGAGAGAAGCGTCTGTTTGGTATGGACAGTTTTATATTTGGAGAGGAGGCGAGAAGAGACCGTTTGGTATGGACTGTTTTGTATTTGTAGAGGAGGCGAGAAGAAGAGACCGTTTGGTATGGACTGTTTTATATTTGGAGAGGAGGCGAGAAGAGGCCGTTTGGTATGGACAGTTTTATATTTGGAGAGGAGGCGAGAAGAGACCGTTTGGTATGGACTGTTTTATATTTGGAGAGGAGGCGAGAAGAGACCGTTTGGTATGTTTTATATTTGGAGAGGTTTTATATTTGGAGAGAGAGAGACCGTTTGGTATGGACAGTTTTATATTTGGAGAGGAGGAGAGAAGAGACCGTTTGGTATGGACTGTTTTATATTTGGAGAGGAGGCGAGAAGAGGCCGTTTGGTATGGACAGTTTTATATTTGGAGAGGAGGAGAGAAGAGACCGTTTGGTATGGACTGTTTTATATTTGGAGAGGAGGCAAGAAGAGGCCGTTTGGTATGGACTGTTTTATATTTGAAGAGGGGGAGAGAAGAGACCGTTTGGTATGGACTGTTTTGTATTTGAAGAGGGGGAGAGAAGAGACCGTTTGGTATGGACTGTTTTGTATTTGAAGAGGGGGAGAGAAGAGACCGTTTGGTATGGACTGTTTTATATTTGGAGAGGAGAAGAGACCGTTTGGTATGGACTGTTTTATATTTGGGAGAGAGAGAAGAGACCGTTTGGTATGGACAGTTTTATATTTGGAGAGGAGGAGAGAAGAGAGTGGACTGTTTTATATTTGGAGAGAAGGCGAGAAGAGGCCGTTTGGTATGGACAGTTTTATATTTGGAGAGGAGGCGAGAAGAGACCGTTTGGTATGGACAGTTTTATATTTGGAGAGGAGGCGAGAAGAGACCGTTTGGTATGGACTGTTTTATATTTGGAGAGGAGGAGAGAGAGAGAGAGAAGAGACCGTTTGGTATGGACAGTTTTATATTTGGAGAGGAGGCGAGAAGAGACCGTTTGGTATGGACTGTTTTATATTTGGAGAGGAGGAGAGAAGAGACCGTTTGGTATGGACTGTTTTGTATTTGGAGAGGAGGAGAGAAGAGACCGTTTGGTATGGACAGTTTTATATTTGGAGAGGAGGAGAGAAGAGACCGTTTGGTATGGACTGTTTTGTATTTGGAGAGGAGGAGAGAAGAGGCCGTTTGGTATGGACTGTTTTGTATTTGGAGAGGAGGAGAGAAGAGACCGTTTGGTATGGACAGTTTTATATTTGGAGAGGAGGCGAGAAGAGACCGTTTGGTATGGACTGTTTTATATTTGGAGAGGAGGCGAGAAGAGACCGTTTGGTTTGGACTGTTTTATATTTGGAGAGGAGGCAAGAAGAGGCTGTTTGGTATGGACTGTTTTATATTTGGAGAGGAGGCGAGAAGAGACTGTTTGGTATGGACTGTTTTATATTTGGAGAGGAGGCGAGAAGAGACCGTTTGGTATGGACTGTTTTATATTTGGAGAGGAGGCGAGAAGAGACCGTTTGGTATGGACTGTTTTATATTGGGAGAGGAGGCAAGAAGAGACCGTTTGGTATGGACTGTTTTATATTTGGAGAGGGGGAGAGAAGAGACCGTTTGGTATGGACTGTTTTATATTGGGAGAGGAGGCGAGAAGAGACTGTTTGGTATGGACTGTTTTATATTGGGAGAGGAGACGAGAAGAGACTGTTTGGTATGGACTGTTTTATATTTGGAGAGGAGGCGAGAAGAGACCGTTTGGTATGGACAGTTTTATATTTGGAGAGGAGGCGAGAAGAGACCGTTTGGTATGGACAGTTTTATATTTGGAGAGGAGGCGAGAAGAGACCGTTTGGTATGGACAGTTTTATATTTGGAGAGGAGGCGAGAAGAGACTGTTTGGTATGGACAGTTTTATATTTGGAGAGGAGGCGAGAAGAGACTGTTTGGTATGGACAGTTTTATATTTGGAGAGGAGGCGAGAAGAGACCGTTTGGTATGGACAGTTTTATATTTGGAGAGGAGGCGAGAAGAGACCGTTTGGTATGGACAGTTTTATATTTGGAGAGGGGGAGAGAAGCGACTGTTTGGTATGGACAGTTTTATATTTGGAGAGGAGGCGAGAAGAGACCGTTTGGTATGGACAGTTTTATATTTGGAGAGGGGGAGAGAAGCGACTGTTTGGTATGGACAGTTTTATATTTGGAGAGGGGGAGAGAAGAGACCGTTTGGTATGGACAGTTTTATATTTGGAGAGGGGGAGAGAAGAGACTGTTTGGTACGGACTGTTTTATATTTGGAGAGGAGGCGAGAAGCGACTGTTTGGTATGGATTGTTTCATATTTGGAGAGGAGGCGGTACGATACTGCCGCGTCGGTATGGATTGTGGTATTTTTAAGGGGAAGTAGGATAAACCCGTTTTGGGGCAGCCTTGTATATATATACTTGGTAGGGAGCATAAAGGACGAAAAAGTTAAGTTTCACGATTTAAATTTTCAGTATTGATCATGATATGCCCAATAAACGTGGGACTAGTTCATGATTCTGGTAGCGACGATCGCTGTGTATAAATGATACGCCAAACTAAGCATAAAATAAACGTTTTATTCTCGTGAGATTATTACAACGCAAAAGAATTGGTATCCTTAAAGTTTTTTAAACTACACCTGAACACCCTGTGTCGGTCATGTCGCGTGTTAAAGCTCACCAGCCCCGCCCACGACCCCCTCTTTGTTGGCTATGAATCTTTTCTTGTTGGTCCTGCATTTGCCAGCCGAGTGCCCTCTGTCGATATATTTCCTTCTTAGCGGCTGCCTGTTGGGCCTGGTCCTGCTTGGCATTTGTGATGAGTTCATTATAACCATGACGCGCGTGAAGACCGTCCAGGGCAGCGTTCATGAGAGGATAAGGCCTACCGCACGCGCCACGATAGTCGTCCATATCTAAGGTCCATATCATGATGCCACCAAGGAAGTTGTTGAAGACGATGCGAGCCTGTAAAATAATATTGAGCACTTTTGTATGACAGCCATTCCGTACCATTCCCATATCTATTGAATACAACAGAAATATTCCATATTTCATCATACAGTTACGGAAACCTACCTTTTGTTTGATACTCTCGGGGTTGTCGTAACCGATCCACTCATCCCCAACGATTGTGTAAGGCACACGCTTATCTGAAATCATCATTTCTCTTGCGCCGTTTTTGATCAGGTGACAAAGCTACAAAATTTTCATAAAGAATGTATATATAATTATGTGTTGCTTCCAGTTAATCTTAAATATACCGTAGGAACTCTGCGAAAAAGTAAAATTATAATCATAGACCAGAATACAAGGTGTGTGTAGAAACACGATCAACCACATATTATTTTACTAAAATAAATTGAAACTGATAGATTTATTGTAACCTTATAATTACCCTTGTCATATTGTAACAAGTATCTTTCCTTGTGCCAAAAAAAGGCGTGGGACAAGACATAGGACTAACCTGAGAAATGGGATATCCGTCTCCGTTATCGGAGCCTGCACCGATGGTTGGCGCTCCGGGTTGTGTATAGTTGGTGTTGGCTAGAGTAAAGGAGCGCCCGAACATGGGTAGACCTATTACAATCTTGTGACGTGGTACTCCCTTGTTTACCCAGTATCGGCTCAGGTTGTTCTGAAAGAATTCAATCGGATGAAACACTTCATTACCAAAGAGTGAATGTAATTTTACGAAGATACAAAGGAAGGGGTAAAGTACAGTGATATTCCGAACATCCGACGAAAGGTAAAGCAATCATAAGATCAGATATTTAACTAGATACACGAAACGGAAGTGTCAGCTGATGTCACGAGAGCTCTGATGTCAGGCATGTTTATTGATATCGTCGTACAGAAGGAATCGTGAGTGCCCACACGGTGTCATGAGAAATGTGACGTCATATTGTTGGATTGTAAACACGGTGTCACACAAGCTCTGTAGTGAGAAATGCTTTTTGTACGCACAGCTTCTAGCTATTTCTGACGTCACAACATACACATCATGACTTGCTTACATCACGCTCAATGCCGCGTACTCACCACATTCTTGGGATCGTGAGCACTGTAGAGGGCGCTGTGGTGATTTGCAATACTAGGGTCGTCCCAGTGGCCATAGAAGTCGAACATCTTCATGTTTATCCAGTTCACCCACCTGTAAAAAGAAACGGGGTTAAAAGACGATAGATAAACAATGACATATCTACGAGATAAGAAGGTAATGTAATGACAGTTCAGTGATAAATAATTCTGCTTTTTAAAGGTAGCAGTGGATGTGTTATTCGAATCTCCAATTACGAATCCGCTGCCAACTTCAGCTCCATCTATTTCTATACCAGTAATCAATGTTATGTCAACGACTGAAATCTGCATGCAATCAATGATCACAGACTTCAACCATTTTCAGAAAACAATTAACAAAAAACATCGGAGGACACCAAAACCTAGCAAACGAGTCCGAAACCTATGACCATGTTCTAATCAAACTTTGGTTCTTACTTACAATGTATGTCGCAAAAATCAGGGCCCGTATTCATGAAACTGTTCTCATGCTCAAGCATAGATTGTGTACTCAAGATAACTTTTTCATAATTCACCTAAATCATATCCATTAATACAAATGCCAAATATAAACATTGAATACAGCATTTGACTTGAAGTCTTTTCAAAATATTTTCAAATCCGTAACAAAATCAGCCTTTCTTATTCACTTTTAACTGAAACAAGATACAAGACTTGAGCATAACATTCATGATTGAGCATGGGAACGGTTTCGTGAATACGGTTCCTGATATTGTAATTAAAACCGTTGGTGCTAAAGTGGCTGTTGTTATCAACATCTCTACGAACGATACAAAAGTTATTTTATCCCATAACTACGTCAGTTACACAACCGATTTGCCACGTGGTAAACTTCGTAGCAGTGTTATTGTTTACACATCGCATTGTGTGAACACTTTTAAAGTCTCCAATTGGTCGTCTTTGACCTCTAGCAATTCTGATCGATTAACCTCTCAACTTTGACAGCAGATTACTTCTTTTTGTCAATTAAAAAGCATCAACATGGCCGCCGATCATCAGTTTGTATAGACACCTACATTACATTGAAACAAACGCCAAAAATCTGACAAACTGTTGATATGTATGTCTTTAATGGGAGATAAACCAGTTAAATATAGTGTGTATTTGTAAAGGAATCGTCTCTATTTGTCCGTATCGTGATTTGTATAAAGTCTTACGATTTGCTTCCCGGTGATCATTTTAAAATGTAGTTACGCTGAGTTCAGATTATGCTTTAACGTGGGTCTCAAAGACAAAGACCCTGGAATACACTGACTGACCATTCAGCAAGGAAATATTGTACTCGGCTGAGTAGTTACTCCCAAGTTAATGTATAATTCATGTACTGTTGTCATCATTACTGGAGTTATCAATGATACAGGAGTTGTTATCATTACTGCAGTTATCAATGATACAGGAGTTGTTATTATTACTGAAGTTATCAATGATACAGGAGTTGTTATCAGCATTACTGGAGTTGTCAATGATACAGGAGTTGTTATCATTACTGGAGTTATCAATGATACAGGAGTTGTTAGCATCATTACTGAAGTTATCAATGATACAGGAGTTGTTATCAGCATTACTGGAGTTATCAATGACACAGAATTGTTATCATAACTGGAGGTATCAATGATACAGGAGTTGTTAGCATCATTACTGAAGTTATCAATGATACAGGAGTTGTTATCAGCATTACTGGAGTTATCAATGACACAGAATTGTTATCATAACTGGAGGTATCAATGATACAGGAGTTGTTATCATTACCGGAGTTATCAATGATACAGGAGTTGTTATCAGCATTACCGGAGTTATCAATGACACAGGATTGTTATCATTACTGGAGTTATCATTGATACAGGAGTTGTTATCAGCATTACTGGAGTTATCAATGACACAGGATAGTTATCATTACTGGAGGTATCAATGATACAGGAGTTGTTATCATTACCGGAGTTTTCAATGATACAGGAGTTGTTATCAGCATTACCGGAGTTATCAATGACACAGGATTGTTATCATTACTGGAGTTATCAATGATACAGGAGTTGTTATCAGCATTACTGGAGTTATCAATGACACAGGATTGTTATCATTACTGGAGGTATCAATGATACAGGAGTTGTTATCATTACTGGAGTTATCAATGATACAGGAGTTGTTATCATTACTGGAGTTATCAATGACACAGGATTGTTATCATTACTGGAGGTATCAATGATACAGGAGTTGTTATCATTACTGGAGTTATCAATGATATAGGAGCTGTTAATATGGTTATGTAATACTTATTATGCTAAATACAAATATGACATAATTCCTTACTAATCAAGAATTTCACAATCAGCATTTGATTAAATCGGTTTTAATCTTAATATATATCCTATCGATTAATTAAAGTGATTGATTTTCATTCTTACCATTGTCTGTCCGATTGATGGATCCTACGTCCTATTGTCAACACAACTTACTTTGATGTAGATATTCGTAGCGGTTTTTTGACATGCATGATAGACAGTAGAGATGCATTTCATTCCCATTTTTAATTCTAATTTGTGTTTTGTATGATGTATGCTAAATCAGATTAAACATTAGAATGTGTATAAAAAGTCATTAACTTTAATAAAAACCTATCACGCCATTACCTTGATGAATCATCTCGTCAGGCGTCTTATTAATTCTATTACCTATCGAGTGAAGAAGTGTTGTTTATTGGAAACCTGTCTGTTCAGCTCCCAGAGGCCAGTAGTGTTCCTGGTATAAACACGGACCACCACCCTGACGATGTCCACACAGATTATATAGGGGTGTCGTATGACACGGAGGCCCATCCCCTGACGCAGAGACACCATCCCTCGCACTTTCAACACAAATATTACGGGGAAATGGTATACAAGGGTCCCAACCCTGGCCCTATATACAGGGATTATCCGGGAACACTGTATTTTTGCACGGATCATGTACGGACGTCGTTTAAGACAGTGACGTCAACCATGGAGATGTCTTGGGCACATGGTATAACATAAAAGCCCAGCCCCTGATGCTGTCTACAGGGATTACACGGGTACATGGTATAACACACAGGCCCTGCCCCTGATGCTGTTTACAAGGATTACACGGGTACATGGTATAACACATAGGTCCCGCCCCTGATGCTGTCTACAAGGATAACACGGGTACATGGTATAACACATTGGCCCGGCCCCTGATGCTGTTTACAAGGATTACACCGTACATGGTATATAACACATAGGCCCCGCCTCTGGTGTTGTCTATAAGGACAACACAGGTACATGGTTAATACATAGGCCCCGCCCCTGGTGTTGTCTATAAGGACAACACAGGTACATGGTATAATACATAGGCCCCGCCCCCGATGCTGACTACAAGGATTACACGGGCACATGGTATAACACATTAGCCCCGCCCCTGGTGATGTCTACAAGGATTACACAAGTACATAGTATATTACATTGTACGCCTAGCACATTACCATTTTGGGTACCATAAAGATCTCTATGAGCCATAATCATTACTTACTCGTGAACTACTTGTAACAACAGTTCAAAGTCATACTAGTCATTGATTAGCAAACGTCCAGAACATGCAAAATGAGGAAGATGTATAAGAACATGAAAATATAAAAGTTCATAAATTATACACAGAATTCCAGAGAGTAATGCCAGTACCAACTTACAGACTCTCGCACATGTTAAACAAAGCGTAGCTGAACTGACTACAGTACATCGTTACCATCTGGTCTATAAACTGTTTACCATCTATTTTCGACTTTAGTATACGTAGGATTATAGTACAGCCAAAAAGGTTGGTCGATTTTTTACCATCTCGTACACTGCGTACGTCAGTGCTAGTACACTCCACACTGGTCATTTGTCTGATGATGATGACCGTGTAACTCATCGAAACGTCATTCTGTAATTGTGTGATAAGAACTTATATTCTATTGACTTTACCAACCGGAAGAAAATGTTTTTGAAAATACACAGGTACATGCTATTACACACAGGTCCCTGATTTAGCTTAATATGGCCTCATTGACTTCGGGTGTTTTTATTAAGTACACGGTACCTGGAGTATCTAGGTAGGTCGTATGACATCGAGGCCCGCTCTACCGTGGGGTCAACAGAGATGGTAAGGATGAGGGTACTTTTGTCATCTGGCTCCTCCTCGTGCTCAAACTCCCACTGGAGCAGCTGAAGAAATCAAACGGCATATCTCAGTAAGCATGTCTTACAAAAGAATTATGTAACATACCCCTTTAAGTACTGTTTCTTACACTCAGTATATAGTTATATATAATTACCTTACCGGCCACGTAGTACCGCTTCCACATAGCTATCCAATGTTACCTTCTATATATAGTAACACTTCCACATAGCTATCCAATGTTACCTTCTATATATAGTAACACTTCCACATAGCTATCCAATGTTACCTTCTATATATAGTAACACTTCCACATAGCTATCCAATGTTACCTTCTATATATAGTAACACTTCCACATAGCTATCCAATGTTACCTTCTATATATAGTAACACTTCCACATAGCTATCCAATGTTACCTTCTATATATAGTAACACTTCCACATAGCTATCCAATGTTACCTTCTATATATAGTAACACTTCCACATAGCTATCCAATGTTACCTTCTATATATAGTAACACTTCCACATAGCTATCCAATGTTACCTTCTATATATAGTAACACTTCCACATAGCTATCCAATGTTACCTTCTATATATAGTAACACTTCCACATAGCTATCCAATGTTACCTTCTATATATAGTAACACTTCCACATAGCTATCCAATGTTACCTTCTATATATAGTAACACTTCCACATAGCTATCCAATGTTACCTACTCTATCAAGTAACATACAGTAATATCTTATTATTACATATCTTTATTTGTTATGTAGAAATAAATATGTAATTCTGCATTGGGACTGGAACATCCTAAATACTCGGTAACATCACTAAATCCTGATTTTTTTCCTGAAATTTCGAATTTTGTAGTCTATAGAAGCATACACATTATGATATTACTTCAAAGGAAAAGTGAACGTCCTGTTTAGAAACGTACACTCCTATTACGATATTGTTACTAACCCTCAAGAATCTGTAGAAGCGCTGTACATCCTCTGGTGGACTTCCTCGAGTAGCCGGGAACTGCCAGTCGATATCCAGGCCGTCGAAGTCGTGTTTACGAAGGTAGTTTATGGCTTCCTCGGCGAAGCGCTGCATATTTGCCTCCGAGGAAACGGTCTTAGAAAACAATTTACTGTCAGTGGCCCAGCCTCCAACTGACAACATCATCGTCAGGTCCTCGTTCTTGGAACGCATGCTGTGGAACCTCCGGAACCTGAAAATCATCCGTGTTGTCATTTAAAAAAGACACTCATACCTCACTCGCAGTTCACTCATACCTCACCCGCACTTGTTGCTATGTGTGTGTTCAGATGATACGTTATTATTGGTTCGAAAATGACTAAGAACATGTTCCGGTACCTCAATCACGAAGAACGTGTCGGGAACACCAACAATGGGCTATACTAATTAGATGTACTCCAGAGAGAAAGGTAAAGAAACAAACATAATTAGTTTTGTAAAGCAACATGTTTATAGTTAACTACTTGCGTAGGTATATTCCGCTACATCATAAGAGTCAAAAAGTGAATTCTCCGAAATTAATTCTTAAAAATAGAAATTCTCTGAATCAGCGATGAACACCAAACTAGTCAGTTTTCACTGTGAAGTGTTACTCATTAGTCCTCATTGTAGTATGCATAGATATACCCTTACAATGTCTGTACCACATAGAATATCGGCCATTTCTTTACAATAAATGTACCGCAAAGAATATCGGCCCTTTCTTTACAATAAATGTACCACAAAGAATATCAGCCCTTTCTTTACAATAAAGGTACCATACAGAATATCAGCCCTACCTTTGCAATAAATTTACCACATAGAATATCGGAACTTTCTTTACAATAAATGCACCACAGAATATCAGCCCTTTCTTTACAATAAAGGTACCATACAGAATACCAACCCTTCCTTTGCAATAAATTTACCACATAGAATATCAGCCCTTCCTTTACAATAAATGTACCACACAGAATACCAACCCTTCCTTTACAATAAATGTACCACAAAGAATATCAGCCCTTTCTTTACAATAAATGTACCACACAGAATACCAACCCTTCCTTTACAATAAATGTACCACAAAGAATATCAGCCCTTTCTTTACAATAAATGTACCACACGGAATATCAACCCTTTCTTTATATTATTTTATTTTATTCGTGTACGCTGAAAAAAGAGATTTGAATTTGAAATAATAAAACCTGCTTTATCACTCGGAAGCCCCATTGGCTTATCTTCCTTTCACAAACAGCATCAACATGTTAATTTAATAGGCGTAACGGAAATCGTGTTGATGGTGGTAAACTCTGTTACCTTTTCTGCTGCCCCTAAAACCACAGATGTTTTTTACGTAATAAAGGAAGTATTCATTTGTAAACATTGTCGGTCTCACGAAAATCTTGTTCTTTATAAAATCCCTTTCTTATACGATATCTAATTTATTAAGTGTGATATTTCATTATCTAATAATTTAGATGTCTTATTTTGATTTTCTTTGTAGGGCGTTTTACTTACTTAACTACATATTTCATTTAGTAGATATCTAATTTAGTAAATAAGTTTCCTTATTTGGTAAATCAAATTATCTTATTGAGTAAATAGGGAACCTTATTTGGTAAATTAGCTTCTTTATTTAGAAAATCAGATACCTGATTGAGTAAATAACAAACATTATTTGGTGAATCAGTATCTGATTTAATGAATAAGAAACCTTATTTGGAAAGTCAGATATCCGATTGAGTAAATAAGGTATCTTAAACTTGAAATGAGATATCTTATAAACTAAGAAGATATCTTATTTGATAAAATCTATACCTTATTTACTTTGGTCACGAACAGGAGCAATAATGCTCTATGAATAACGACAACCTGGCTTGCCAAATATACGATGTATAATATTTATGTGTGGCTGTCACAAGGAACAGCATATGGGCATTCTTTCTATAATTAGTGATCTTGGAGTGAACACGGTTTTTTCAGTCCAACTATCCAGGGGATGTACGTACCGACGGGTGGTGATTTTTTGTTTTGTTTTTATTTTTTTTTTCATTGTTTTTTGGTGTTTTTTTCAACTTACAGATTAAGTTCCTCAGTTTCATAGCCGTCCGGCGCCCGCAGCTGAGTTCCTGTGTCGTCAAGAGTAGCATAGGCGAACACAATATGGGTACAGAGGTAGGGGTCGATGTCTTCAGGGGCCAGACCTAACTTCCTGTCCCGATAAAGTGACCAGCCGCTATAGAAACACACCCTGTTAAACTCGGCTGTAAACAACGAGAATTTACCATCAATAATTAAAAATATTTGTTTTAGTATCAGGGTACACTGCACACTCTTATCTCCATACAATGTAATCCGCTTTATTTAGCAAACTAAATTTCATTGCATATTTAGTCATAGAAAGCGGTCATGTTTTACTGTATTGTCTATGTGGTTTCCATCACAACACACACACATTTACAAATCATCATCGTAGTAATCTTCTCTGTCCTTTGTTTTCAATGACACAACAATAGATTAATGATCTTCCGTCCTAAGTTTCCTATTTTGAAAATTATGGTTTTACTACTAAGACAGACTGGACACTTTCTGACACAGTCGTCCTTTATTGCTCCTGTCTCATACTTTACGACAGTTCATGCAATAAAACCTTTAAATTTGCTTTAACCGTGTTCAATGATTATCTTAGCGAATGCTTTAAAAAAGTAATTTTAACATTTATGTGCAAAATTATGTCCAATTAGGAAAAAACTGATACAACACTGACGATCTGTACCACCCTTACAACCATCACACTCCATCCCAAACATCCCCACCCACCTACACACATACCACCACTACACTCCACCCAAAACATCCCCACCCACCCCACAACACATACAACAACCGCACCCCACCCCAAGCATTCTCACCCACCTAAACACATACACCCATCACACTCCGCCCCAAACATCCCCACCCACCCCACAACACATACAACCACCGCACTCCACCCCAAACATCCCCATCCACCCCCACAACACATACAACCACCACACTCCATCCCAAACATCCCCACCCACCTACACACATACCACCACTACACTCCACCCAAAACATCCCCACCCACCCCACCCCACATACAACAACCGCACCCCACCCCAAACATCCCCACCCACCTAAAAACATACACCCATCACACTCCACCCCAAGCATCCTCACCCACCTAAACACATACACCCATCACACTCCGCCCCAAACATCCCCACCCACCCCACAACACATACAACCATCACACTCCGCCCCAAACATCCCCACCCACCTACACACATACCACCACTACACTCCACCCAAAACATCCCCACCCACCCCACAACACATACAACAACCGCACCCCACCCCAAACATCCCCACCCACCTAAAAACATACACCCATCACACTCCACCCCAAGCATCCTCACCCACCTAAACACATACACCCATAACACTCCGCCCCCAAACATCCCCACCCACCCCACAACACATACAACCATCACACTCCGCCCCAAACATCCCCACCCACCTACACACATACCACCACTACACTCCACCCAAAACATCCCCACCCACCCCACAACACATACACCCAACAACAACCGCACCCCACCCCAAACATCCCCACCCACCTAAAAACATACACCCATCACACTCCACCCCAAGCATCCTCACCCACCTAAACACATACACCCATCACACTCCGCCCCAAACATCCCCACCCACCCCACAACACATACAACCATCACACTCCGCCCCAAACATCCCCACCCACCTACACACATACCACCACTACACTCCACCCAAAACATCCCCACCCACCCCACAACACATACAACCACCGCACCCCACCCCAAGCATCCTCACCCACCTAAACACATACACCCATCACACGTCACCCCAAACATCCCCACCCACCCCACAACACATACAACCACCGCACTCCACCCCAAACATCCCCACCCACCCCACAACACATACAAACACCGCACTCCCCAAATATCCCCACCCACCTAAACAATACAACCACTACACTCCACCCCAAACATCCCCACCCACCTAAACACATACAACATCACACTCCACCCCAAACATCCCCACCCACCTACACACATACCACCACTACACTCCACCCAAAACATCCCCACCCACCCCACAACACATACAACCACCGCACCCCACCCCAAGCATCCTCACCCACCTAAACACATACACCCATCACACTCTGCCCCAAACATCCCCACCCACCCCACAACACATACAACCACCGCACTCCACCCCAAACATCCCCACCCACCCCACAACACATACAACCACCGCACTCCACCCCAAACATCCCCACCCACCCCACAACACATACAACCATCACACTCCACCCCAAACATCCCCACCCATCTAAACACATACACCCATCACACTCCGCCCCAAACATCCCCACCCACCCCACAACACATACAACCACCACACTCCACCCCAAACATCCCCACCCACCTAAACACATACAACCACCACACTCCACCCCAAACATCCTCACCCACCTAAACACATACAACCATCAAACTCCACTCCAAACATCCCCACCCACCCCACAACACATACAACCACCGCACTCCACCCCAAACATCCCCACCAACCCCACAACACATACACCCATCACACTCCACCCCAAACATCCCTACCCACCTAAACACATACAACCATCACACCCCACCCCAAACATCCTCACCCACCCCACAACACATACAACCACCGCACCCGACCCCAAACATCCCCAACCACCTAAACACATACAACCATCACACTCCACCTCAAACATCCCAACCCACCTAAACACATACAACCATCACACTCCACCCTAAACATCCAAACCCACCAAAACACATACAACCATCACACTCCACCCCAAATATCCCAACCCACCTAAACACATACAACCATCGCACTCCACCCCAAACATCCCCACTCACCTAAACACATACAACCATCACACTCCACCCCCAACTTCCCCACCCACCTAAACACATACAACCACCACACTCCACCCAAACATCGCCATCCACCCCCACAACACATACAACCACCGCACTCCACCCCAAATATCCCCACCCACCTAAACACATACACCCATCACACTCCACCCTAAACATCTCCACCCACCTAAACACATACAACCATCACACTCCACCCCAAACATCCCCACCCACCCCACAACACATACATCCACCCCACTTCACCCCAAACATCCACACCAACCCAAACACATACAACCACCACACACCACTCCAAACATTCCCACCCAACCCTCAATACGAGATATTGATGAAATAAAATGTAATTGTGACGTTCCGGATCTGTTTAGGCGAAAATGATAATGATTTCCGGAAGGTTCGAGAAACAGAGAAACACGTCACATTTATTAACTACGACGGTGATGAAATGTCACAATAGTTAATGTGAATATACTGATTAACCAGAAATTTATGTTAATGATATTCCATCTGTACACAGACAAACTGAGTGTGTACATGTTGTCTACGGGGCAGGTCGTGTCTGGTACCTAGAATCCACATGTCTAAACTATCATCACGCAAACTGGTCATATACAATACTGTACCTTATATCTTACCTTAGACACGTCACAGTATATCACATACCATACACCAGCTAACATGTCTTATCAAAATGTCTTTGACATTCTGAGACACACGTCATTGTGTAACAGAATGTCACTGAACACCATCAAACAGTGTACCAAACGCACAATCGATCATAAAGTACACAAACACTTTTTTAAATGTGTAAATGATTATAAACAATGTGTAAAACAACAAAACGTGTATGAAACGTCAAACAATCTACCTAACAAGAACACTGTAGCCAAAACAATTAATCAGACAATATGCGAATTACTAACAGTTCTAAATGTACCCAATAACATGATGTTTCAATCAGCCGATGTACCAAAACATCGTACTAAAATTGTAACGCGGAAGGTATCGGGCAAAATACATCAAAAAGTTTAACAGGTACAAGTCAATTAACAACATACATATCTTATAATATAATGTACTTCTATTTTGAGGATGATGTTTCGTTAACTCACCTGTTGTGACAAATAACACACCTGTTATGAGGATGACGTCTCGATAATATACCTGCTTTCAGAATGACGTCATGATAGATTACCTGCTGTGAGGATGACATCACGATAACATACCTGCTGTGAGAATGACATCACGAAAACTTACCTGCAGTGAGGACAACATTTACAATTAGGACAAGAAGACCCCGAAGAACAGCTTGCGCGTCCATCTGCAATAAAAAAAGCATTTACAATTTAATGTTACGTCGCGTTCATTCCGAATCAACGTAGCATCTGAATAATCATCACAACCAATTTAGTTTACTCTATAATGTCATAACATCACGTTCTACACATTCTCACAGAAAGGTAGTAATCGATCACGGCTGAAGGGCTTATAGGTTAAATTTGACACCTCAAGAAGATATTTATGCATTGGAGCGAAAGCATTCAATACAAAAGATATCCTGTTGACGAGTATGTATTGAAATAGTGATGCACAGAAATAATGCAGTGATGTACTGACAATGATAATGCAGTGATGTACTTAAAATGATAATGCAGTGATGTACTTAAAATGATAATGTAGTGATGTACTGTAACAATGATAATGTAGTGATGTACTGACAATGATAATGTAGTGATGTACTTACAATGATAATGTAGTGATGTACTAACAACAATGATAATGTAGTGATGTACTTACAATGATAATGTAGTGATGTACTAACAACAATGATAATGTAGTGATGTACTGACAACAATGATAATGTAGTGATGTACTGACAATGATAATGTAGTGATGTACTGACAACAATTATAATGTAGTGATGAACCGACAATGATAATGTAGTGATGAACGGACAATGATAATGTAATGATGTAATGACAATGATAATGTAGTGATGTACTGACTATGATAATGTAGTGATGTACTGACAATGATAATGTAGTGATGTACTGACGACAATGATAATGTAGTGATGTACTGACGACAATGATAATGTAGTGATGTAATGACAAGGATTATGTCATCAGGCTGGATCGGTGTTACATTATTTCTTGCAAGCGTTTTTCGTGATTTCCTTCAGATATTCGGTAGTTGTGACTGTCTTTTGCAGTGAAACGACGACAATGGCCAGAAGTAGCCATCGCAAGTACGACAGTGACCGGTTTGTCATTGTTCTTCACCCGTGACCACGCCCACACTGAAGGGACCACGCCCAAACCGAGAAGGACGGCTGTCTATCATCGACACATTACGTGTCATTAGCGACATATACATCTATACCTAAATGGACAATTTGTGTTATGCGTCAGTCACGCGTTTTAATAAGCTACTGACAATGAATACATATGTCCTTTTTAAAAGATACTTGTCAGAAATTATGTATTGTTGCTATCTGTTGTAATGTTTAATAATAAGCCCCTCTACCTTGCCACTATACACAGTAACATTCCACATAAACGATACAACAGATATATAGACCTTAACAATCAACATGTTTATTTATGTTTGTCAGTTTTATATTAAATATGACCCATCAGTTACATTTCGATGTCACTGTCTTGGGAACCTTGACCGGTTCAGAGCGGCGAGTCAAATCTACTGACATCTTAATAGCATTACATGGCAGCAACATGATGATTAAAGATACGACAAAAGAGGCACATTCTCCATTAATTACCATTTCAATATCCAGATTTTTTTTTATTGATAGATATAGGTATAGGTCGTGGTTAGCTTGGTACTATGACACCTAACCTGTAGCAATATTAAGATTTATAAGAATTAAAGACATAGTATATTTATTACCAAGGTCACCTTCGTTAGGTGATGTCGGTTGCTGAATCTCCAGGTCACATGAAGACTAGTAAGGTGGTAAATAAATGTGAAGGTCATATGAAAATTCAGTTGTAATGTAAAGTTAGATGGCAAGTTTTCCCACGAACAAATGACGTTAAAGATAGATGTCAGTTGAGTGGAGGACAAGTAACGTGTTACTTAAATATCAAGATCATATGAGGACTAGTAAATTTAGAGTTATATGTCAAGGTCACATAATGACTAGTGACATTGTAGTTAGATATCAATATCACCAGGATATTACTAACTTGATATCTGAATGTCAAGGTCACAGGTAGACCAGTGAAGTTATGGGTTAGATACCACCCTCTACTGTAGTCAAGTCACGTAATAAAGCCTTAGAGTCCTGTCCATCACACTCGCCATTAGCATGTGTCGTGAAGAAATTGCACAGCATTTATTCTACTTAGTATTAATAGCATGAATAATCCAATGCAAATTTGTTTTAATTTCATTTAATTGTATGAATAATATCTCATCGAAACATTAAATCTACAGTGGAAGTTCTGACATCAGGATGACATTATGTTCGGTACTGTTTCCCTGACTGTTCCCACCACGTCGACCTAAGGTGTCTAACTCGTTGTATAATACATCTATATCTGATAAGTATACAGTACTTTTATAGTCCGTAGTTTATTGACATCAAAGGGAGGCAACCAGTGCAGTATTATTTACACACGTTTATAAAAAAATCATTAGATGTTACGATTTAGTTAGAATGCTTTTAACAGTGAAAGGTTATTTGTTATGATAACAGAAGCGGAACAATGAAAGGCCAGGGTCCATTATAAATATTACAGATCACCCTGAAGAAATATTATTGAGGCTTGTGTTTTATGGGAGTATGGTCAAGGTCAAGAAGGTGACCTATATAATTCTGCATCTTGTATTGACAATGGCAAGATTTTATTCTAGTAAACATATACATCGTAAGGAATTACATACATTACATTTACATACATAATCGATGCAAGGGTTCTACTCAATGAAGTTAAATCGGTCACTGATCTGATTGGTGAATTTCGCAAGCAAGATAAAATACCGAGTTTTTAAATTAGCATCTGGACACTAATTTGTCCATTGTGATAGATCTTGTTGTTCATTACAGTTCAATAAATAATGAAATTCGTCTCCGATTTCGTTTCTGTTACAAAAGTTGCAACGCGTGTTTCCTTGAAGGACGTTGTTCCATCGGCCATATTCAATTGGTAAATCAACACTACATGTTCGAAATTGAAAATAAACATTTGCTAGTGGTTGAAGGAGCTATTATTCTAAAAATGAGTCATGTTTTTAAATTTGATAATTGGTCTCTTTGAGGGAATTGAAATAATAGCTTTTCCAACTATATATGTATATATGAACATGTTTTTGAATGAATTGTAATTTTAAATCATTGTATACTAGTAAAATATTGATGTTCAAAATTACATTATAATTACATTCGTCAAGAGTTATTTTAACATTTTGTATTATAATGTTTAGAAATCCCATACAATTTGCTACCTCATTTGTTGTGTGTAGATAACGATCTGACTATTAACTACATTTACTTCGCGTAATTCAACGCCGATCGTTTAATGATAAAGAGTTTTAAGGTCAAGGCCGAACGCTTGATGATAAAGAGTTTTAAGGTCAAGGCCGAACGCTTGATGATATAAGACTTTCTCCACAGTCATCACTGCTGGATTTTACTGGTAAAAAACTTCGAAAGTAAACAATGCATAAAATCAGTAGAAACTGACATTCCAGGGACTACACCCAAACCGCTTGTTTATTGTATTGTCAATGTACATTCAGGGAAACACAACATTCAACAGTACTGGCATACAACAGATGACCTGAACTCCTGGGTCCAGTGATATAGTGCATAGTTCTAAATATTGTGGATACTGTTCCTAATTCATTGAATTGTTATCTCCCTTACTTTATTCCTCGTGTGTGAATGACCTTGAAAATGAACTTAATAAGACTTCTTATGACGCTGTATCTTAACAGTACAATGAAAAGTGAAAATTGATAGTTAATAGGTATAAAACAAAATTTAAATGTTTGTATTTCGAAATGATGGAAAGCTGTTTTAATTGATATGAAATAGAAAATTGTTGACAGATTTAATTATCTTTGCGTATTGCTAATTTTAATGTAAGATTTACAAAACGTCAAACTTATAATTGCTGAACAAGGTCGGAAATTCATAAAAATGTACTAAGAATTTGTAATAATTTATTATTCAATGTAGATTCTAAAATCGATGTTTTTGATATTAATGTTTCCCCTGTTCTCAATTTTGGTTGCGAAACATTGGGCTTTACTGCCGCGGACAAAGTAGAAAAAGTACAAATTGGTTTTTTAAGAAGAAGCCACATTGAAAAAAAAAACAAACAAAAAAATAAAAACGGTACGCCATGTTTTGTGGTATATTCGCAATTAGAACATGAGATGTTTTATACAAGTGGGGCCTGCCTTTGCACATCATTTGGAAATGTCGAATAATTTAAGTTGAAATTAATTAAACGTGATAATTGAGTCATTTTATGAAGAAATGGGTAAATGTTTCCAACGAAACTGTAATTGGCGTTGTCAAGTTAATAAATCATTGTTGTCTTGTGGTTTTGGAAATGTCTAGATAACTCATTATATTGATAATGGTTGGGTCACTTTACGTTGTTTTAAGCAGCGTTTGATCGATAATTTCATTCAAATAAGGAATAATTTTGTCGAACGGTCGTCAAAATGTTATTTGTATAAATTCATGTAAATTATACGTTACAAATTTATTTAACAAAGTCTATCCTAGATGTATATCTTAAACTTTTTAGATCCTTTAGGGTTGCTTGTCTAGTGGACTCTAAGATCCTTAGGGATCGCTTGTCTAATGGGCTCTAGATCCTTTGTGGTCGCGTGTCTAGAGGGATCTAACCTCCTTAGGGATCGCTTGTCTAGGCAACTATTGTTACCTCCGTATATATTACATACATTTCTCATTTTGTTCTCTTACATTTATGATAATCTCGAATGAATGCCTATGAGTGCAAGATACTAAAATCTAGATCACCTTGGAATAGCATGACGCCATTTCAGCACCACGCTGACCTTCTCGCACGACTGTTTAGATAACGCATTATGTAGTATCGGACTTTGGACTCTCACGCCACTCTTCCGGTAAATATGGGGTCATAATGTCACCACTTTTAATTTAGTAAAGGCTGAAAAAATGCTATTTCTAAACAACTGTCTAATTTGAAAAAACCTGTAATGAATGATAAACTGTATATTACTTTCCTTCTTAAATAAAATCTAATAACTCGAGACGAATATTTTTAATTTTGGCCGAAGATTAAGCAAACAGAAGAGCTA